AAAAAATTATTAAATTCTGCTGCTGTTATAGTTCTCCTTGTCCCGAAACCAGGATCCCGTTTCGGGCAGGGCCCAATTTGCCTTCAAAAAAAATTTCACGATTTTTTTTTGGAGGGGCCGACGCCTCTCCCGACCCCAACATAGTTTCGCCACTGTGTAGTGGAAAAATCAAGTGAACAAAGACGAAGGGCCCACTTGAAGAGTGTTCGAAAAAACAATGAAGTTTGGGTAGTGAAGGATTTTGAAGAGAAGTATAATCATCCTCTTGCAACTCCTAAAAAGACTCATTTACTTAGATCTCATCGAGTTGTGTCAGCTACAAAATGCGCTTGTTCAGGAGTATGATGAAGCAAATATACGAATATCCCAACAAGTTAGATTGCTTGAAATTACTTATGGTGGTCCTTCTATGATGGGATGTTTGTAGAAGGATATTATGAATGAAAAAACAGTGCGTAAAGCGAAATTGAATGGACATGATGCACTTACCTTCATTCACCAATTCAAAATGGAAAAAGAGAGGAATGAAAATTTTATTACGTTTATGAGACAGACGATGATGGTGTTTTCTTAAGGTGCTCCTGGTCCCGATAATGCATCAAATAATTCATATGTGTTGTTTGGTAGTGCAATTGTATTTGACACCACTTATAACACGAATAAGTACGGAATGGTGTTCGCGCTTTTGTTGGTGTCAACCATCATAGATAGACCACTGTATTTGGTTGTGGGTTACTCAGTGATGAGAAAACAGATTCTTTTGTTTGGTTATTTTCTAAATTTCTAGTTGCAATAATAAACCAAGCGCATCCAGAAATTATTATCATTGACCAAGATGTTGCTATATCAGTTTTTGTGGTCGAGGTATTTCCAAATACCATACATCGATATTGTATTTGGCATATCTTAAACAAATTTTTCGAAAAGCTCGATCATGTTCTTTATAATTTACACTACAGTACTTTATCTGAGATTATTAAAGACTCTGAGACTCCTAATGAGTATGAGTTTAGGTGGAATTCGTTGATGAGTGCTTCTTAATTGAGTTGTAATGAGTGGTTGTCAAAGATGTATGGTATTCGTAGTCGTTGGGTTCCGACATATATGAAGGATGTTTTTTCTGCTAGAATGTCAGCTAACGATTTGAAGGTAATCACGCATTCTTTAAGTGATGTCTCTATAAGAAATGCTCATTGAATGATTTTTTCACTCGTTTTAGTAGGGCTGTTGCGCATTAGAGGCATGAAGAATCAATGGCTACTCATGTTGATCTTAATGAGAAGCCGAGGGTGACCACTTCATTGTAATGAAAAAGCAGATAGCTGAGATTTGTACGAAAACAATATTTTTGTTGTTTTTGAAAGAGTTCAAAAAAAGCGCATTCTTTAAATGTACAGTGATCTCAAGTTCCATAGATTGTCGAGTTTATGAGGTTTGGCAGTTTGATATTGAAATGACTGCCCAATGTCGACATCACTTGACATATGATGTCTCAAAGAATTTTGTAGCTTGCAGTTGCAAACACATTGAGTTTGAAAGGTATCCTTGTCGGTACATGTTATGTTGGATGAGAGTAAAATATGTGATGTTACTACCAAAAGAGTATGTTAAAGAAAGGTGGACAAAAAAAGCAAAGAGTACTCTTTTGTATGGCACACTGCATGATTTTGTAGAAAGTCTTTACAAGGTATGCATTGATGCACATGCCACGAGAGCTCATTGATGATGCGTCGTTGACTGAAGCACGAAACAATTTTTTAATGGATAAACTCAAAATTTTGAAGGTAACATTTTTGTCACTTTCTCAATTTTTTTTTATTTTTTTTTTTTTTTGTTGAAGACGATGATAATATAATACTTATTATGTCATATTAGGATTGTATTGGAGCTATTGATGGTACACATATTGCGATAACCGTACCTGAAAAGGATCAAATTCGTTACAGGGGAAAAAAAGATACCAACTACAAATGTTTTAGTGTGACCTTGATTTGTTGTTCACGTATGTTTTAATAAGATGTGAGAGATCCACACATGATTCTCTTATTTTCCTTTATAAGATCAATAATCAAAATCTCAAAATTTTAAATCCTCGTTTACGTATCTTGTACTTATCATTTATATACATTGTAGCGCGCACACACACACTAACATTTTTTAGATATAATTTAATTCAAATCTAACTTGTGTATTAGGTAAATATTAATTAGTAGATAAAGGCTATAAAAAAAAAAAAGGTTATTTAACGTCTTACACCAAGACAAGATATTATTAATTTGAGTTTCGTAGTTTAAATCCGAGAGGATCTAAAGAAGTTTTTAATCGGGCTCATTCTTCTTTAAGAAGTTGCACTGAAAGGGCTTATGGTGTTATTAAGGCTAAATGGAATATATTATATACAATGCCGAGATATATTCATTAACGGACCAAAATAGAAACATTCGCTCATGTTTTGCACTTCACAATTATATTAGAAGAATTGGTGATCTGGGCTTTAGAGTTTGTTGATGCGAATCCTGAATTCATATATCCTGATGTTTTCTAAGATGTTGAAAATAATTCTGCACAAGGTGATGGGGGAGATGATGACTCGGGAGATGGCAAACGTTTGTGATAAAATAGCTTAAAGTTTGATGGCATCTAGAAGTCGTTCTTAGATTAATTAGTTTTTTTCTTTTCTTTTCTTTTCTTTTGATTTTTTAATTGTAATAGCAGGTATTGCAATTGACTCACATTTATATTTTTAATTCATGCTGACTTGATATTGGTTGCTTATATGACGTAAACTTATTTACTCGATTAAGAAGTATTTTCATTTTATTATTATTTATACTTTATTATATATAAATCACCTTAATAAATATTTAAAATAATAATTATTTCTATTTCATAAATAATTATGACCTTGTTTGGCGATCAACGGATAGCGGATTGTATCAGAGACAGCGGATAGCGGATTATATTAGCAGATTTGACCATCAGATTGCATTAGCGGTTTTTAAATAAGTGTTTGGTAAATAGCTGAAAGCTTATAGCTGTTTAACATCGCAAAATGACAATAAGGACATTTTATTATTTTGGGTGTATTTTTTTATTAATAATATATTAAAACATTTAGTATTCTTTAGTTGGTAATTTATAAATATATTATTATTTTTTTTTAGATTTACTAACACTTGATGAAGAAGTTATGAATTTTACATTTTTCTAGATAAATTAATCATATGGATGACTATATTATTATTTATTAGCACCATAAACCAATGTAGATTGTAAAATAAATAATACAAATTAAAAAGTTCCAAGTAAATGATTTTTGTGAATCTTCTATCCCCAAAACGCTGCTCTAATGAGTTTTTTTTCTAAATTAGGATTTTGGGCCCAAAAAGTTTATCAAATAAGCTATTTACCAAACATGCTCAATAGCAGATTTGAAGGGTCAAACTTCTCAATTAAGTCAAATCCGCTAATTTATCTTCAATCCGATATCTTCCAAACGGGATCTATAAGTTCAACATAAAATAGAATGATAAAAAGTATGTTGATGTCCTTATATGTAATTTTAAACATTAATAGCTAAAATAGTTAATTTTACCAAATACTTTTTTTACAAATCACTAACACAATTAGCTGGTCAAACAACTAACACAATCCGATGATCAAAATAATTAATAAATTCTCTAACAACTAACTATTGACTATACAAGGTCAATAGGATTTTAACACCATCTTTGATAAATTCTAGTTTGATGCTTTATTATGGTGTGAGTTGTGCATTGCACTTAGGTATATTTTTATGGCTGTTTTTTGCTATTTTTTTAAGTTGTTTTTGCTAATTTATTTATTTTTCAGTTGTTTTTGCTAATTTCCTATAACATTTGTAGCTAATGTAAATTATTTTGGTTATGTTTGGTAAAACTAGCTGATAGCTTATAAGCCAACTTATAGCTTATTTAGTAACTAGTTAGTACCCCGTGCGATGCACGAGTACACTATTAAATTAACAATATTATAAAAAGACCTCGAGTTTAAGTCACTCAATGGCGGAAGTGGAAACTACTATTGATCATATTTAAAAAGCGGAAGAAAAAAATAATTATAAATTAAAGAGGAGGATAAACAATACTTACTAATTATAAATTAAAGATTCGAGATCAAACAATATAAAATTATTTTGTATAAGAGAATATAAATTTTATATTATTTTGTATAAGAGAATATAAAATTTTTATGTTTAATATTAAAAACACCTAAAATATTACATTAGTATATGTAAAAGTATTCAAATTTTCTATATTATTTTTGAAAGATATGAAGTCACTAACAACTTTTCTAAACAATTTTAGAAGGAAAACATATCTAAAAACATTTGAATTTTAACATTGTGTAAAAAAGATTTTTTTAGATTATTTTGTAAAGAAAACATGTATACGAATATTTAAATTTAATATCAATTATGTATATGTGTATATGTATACATATATATATGTATATATAGACCAATATGTAAAAAAAATGTTTAAACAATTTGCTTAAAGTGTCTAAAATATTATAAGCCTAATTTAATAAACACATTATGTCAGATGATACCGAATTTATGGCGCTACTTCTACCTAATAAAATTTGATTACACAAAATTTCAAAATTATTATTATACTTTTTACGTTGTTATCGAGGATGTATTGTTAGCTATTATATTTTTAAAAATATTAGTAATTAGAACGATGAAAATTAACTTTTTAGAGTAAATAATGGAATTCTAATTAATAGTAATTATCAATTGGTTTCTATTTTATTTTTAAAGCTAATTGATTTTTAATAGTAATTATGAATTGTTTTTTTTTTTAAATCTGATGGATAAGTGATGAGATTTTTTAAACTCGTGAGACGTATGCAATGAGATTTTGTAACAAATAAGAGATAAACTCGTGTAGAGTTATGCTATGAGATTTTATAAGCTATCAATTATTTTTAATATGATTTTGTAATGATAGAATTTTTATATGATATCAACACAATTTGTTATTTTGTTAACCTATAAAATAGGAAAAATGGAACCATCAGCAAAACCAGTGCGGCATTTATTCATTAAATGATTTTGGCGGTAAATTTTAGCGGGAAATCATAAAAAGGTTATTCTTTTTATACAATGATAGATTTTTGAGCTTATAGCTTATAACTTATGACTTATAGCTGAAACGTTAGCTTATATGTAAAAGTGTTTGGTAAAATTAGCTGATAAGCTAGCTGAAATAAAAATTTCAACGAGCTTATTTGAAAAGCTACCAAAAGAATCTTATCAAATAAGCTCGAGCTTTTTAAATAACCTTGTCCTACCAAACAGAGCTTATTTAAATGCAAGAAGCTTATAAACTAAACAAATACGTTATAAGTTAGGTTATTGGTCAACCAAACATAGCCTATATAACAACTTTATACTTGACATAGACTATCGAGATAATGCTCCCCTACCCACGGTGGGCACATGTTAATATGTCCACCGTATATGTGGCATGCTGACATTGGTGATGTTAATATGTTAAAAAAAATACATCACCAATGTGTGGATGCTGTTAATACACAATTTTGGTCTC